AGGTACTTCTTTCTTTTGTCCGTTCGAGGACGAACGGTTGTTTTAGAGGTGGAGAATGTGACGACCCAAAGGGGTCATCACCTGTATTCCTACTCCCTCTGTACTTCTGAGGCCCTAGAAACCTCACTTGGGGGTTGCCTCGACTTGTGTGCGCAGTCCGGGCGCGTAACCGGAAAGTTTAAATGTGAATTTGTGAGAAAAATTGTGAAATCTTGGTATTTAATTGATTAAGTTTGACTTCGGTCAACATTTTGGGCAAACGGACCCGGACCCGTGATTTGACGGTCCCGGAGGGTCCGTAGGAAAATATGGGACTTGGGTGTATGCCCCGAATCAAATTTCGAGGTCTCAAGCCCGAGAAATGAATTTTCGTGTGAAATTGTTTTCTGAAAATAAATAAGGAAATTGGAAATGAAATTTGATTAAAATTCTGTGATATCAGGCTCGTATTTTGGTTCCGACGCCCGGTACAAGTTTTATTTACGGTTTCTGTACTTTCCGTAAAGTTTGGTTGAATTTGGACGTCGTTTGACGTGTTTTGGACTAAAATCTCTAAACTTGATGTTTTATGAAAATTGGAAAGAAATCATGGGTATTGAGGCCCAATTTGATGATTCATGATGTTGATTGGGCGATTTGATCGCACGGATGAGTCCGTAGTATGTTTATGAGTTCATTTGCATGTTCGGTTTGGAGTCCCGAGGGGCTCGGGTGAGTTTTGAGTAGGTCCCGGGAGGTCTTAGGCTTAGAAATAGCAGATGGTTGCAGGTTCAGGGGTTGCAGGCCCCAGCGCGGCCGCGGTCATTTCCGCGCGGTCAGCGCTGGAAGCCGCGCGGCCGCGGTACATTTCTGTGCGGACCGTGTGGCTTGGGTTCAGAGGGCCAAGGGGGTAAGTCGACCAGCACGGCCGTGCACCAAATCAGTGCGGTCCGCGCTGGGTGGGTTCAGAGAGGGTCATTTTTTTTCCAGTCCCTCAGCGCGGTCGCAGTGCACTTTTGCGCGGTCCGCGCTGAGCCTCTAGTAGGGTATAAAAGGTCGGGATTTTTAGTTATTTTTCACCTTTTCAAAACCCAAAACATAAGAGGCGATTTCCAAACGATTCTTCTTCTTCAAAACGATTGGTAAGTGATTTCTAACTTATTTTCTTTACTCCTTAACATCTTTAAACATAATTTCAACTTCAAAACAAAGATTTTAATGGGGAAATTTGGAATTTAGGGTAGCACCTAGGTTTTCTAAAATTAGGGGGGGGGGGGTTTGGACCTCAATTCGAGGTCCGATTCCAAGATAACTTACATATTTGAGTTCATGGGGGAATGGGTAATCGGGTTTTGGTTCGAACCTCGGCTTTTGACCATGTGGGCCCGAGGGCATTTTTGACCTTTTGGGGTAAATTGATGAAGAAGCTATAATTAGTCATTGGGTTTGATTTGTGTAGCACATATTGATATCATGAAGTCCTTATTGCATAGATTTGGTTGAGTTGGGGCCGAATTCGAGAGGAAAAGCAGTTGTTGTGGATTGATGTGGCCGTGGAAGTCGAGGTAAGTGTTTGGTCTAACTTTGGCTTGAGGGAATAAGAGTAGAGTCTTATTTGCTACTTGCTAATTGTCGAGTACGATGTATAGGCATGGTGACGAGTATCTATACATTTGTGTCTAGCATGACCGTGGGTCCTATATTGTGATTTCCATGACTTCCTTGTATTATTCATGCCTTGGTGATTATTTCTATTTGTTGTGCAATGATGTGGAAAGAATCGTGACTTATGGATATTGAGGAGCGTTGGCTCCAGTTGTATAGCGAATTGCGAAACTATAAGTGATAATTGAACCTCTAGTGCATTGGCTCGAGTTATGAAGTGAATTGTGAAGTAAAAGTGAGGAGAGAAAAGATCATTATGTTGTCCCTTGGCGGGCCATTGTCAAATTGTGGTTCCTTTGTACTGTGTTCTTAATTGATATTACGGACGCTTAGGTTAATGCTTCATTGTGTTGAGTGATGACTATAGTTATAGCTGAGATAGTTAAGTGTTGTCATAGGTTGGTTACAGCTGAGGTAGTTAAGCGTAGTAATAGGTTGGTTATAGCTGAGGTAGTTAGGTGTAGCACCAAGTTTGATTATAGTTGTGGTAGTTAGATACTAGGATTGATCATAGTTGTGGTAGATAGGTGTCGTAACTGGAATGATTATAGTTGTGGCAGTTAGATGTTACAACGGGATCGATTGTAGCTGCGGTAGTTAGATGTTGGGACCAGTGCGGTTATAGATGTTCTCCCTTGCCAGGACATTTGATTTGACATTTGTTCCTTGCTGGGAAGTCATTATGTTGTTGTTCCCTTGCCGGGAAGTTATACATTGTCGTCCCCCAGCCGGGATTATTTTGTTATATTGTGATTGATGAAATGGGAGCGTGTGGTACGCCTACCACGTAGTATTATGAAATGGGATAGTGTGGTACGCCTACCCGTGATATTTGAGGATCGGGTTGCACGCGCAACAATGATATTTGAGGATCGTGTTGCACGCCGCAACAATGATATCTATGGGTCGGGTTGCACGCCTCGGGTTGCACGCCGCAACAATGATATTTGAGGATCGGGTTGCACGCCGCAACAATGATATTTGAGGATCGAGTTGCACGCCGCAACAATGATATTTATGGATCGGGTTGCACGCCGCAACAGTGTTGTTATATATTAGGATCGGGTTGCGCGCCGCAACAGTTGTTGATTCAAGTGTGTTTATTTTGGATATTCGTTTCTTGGTTCGCTGTAAATTCTTGGGCTGCTTTTATCTTTATATTGAGGTTTCCTATTTGTAACTGTTGCCTCCCCACAACATGTCCCTCCCTTCGTTGCACGCCGCAACAATGATATCTATGGGTCGGGTTGCACGCCGCAACAATGATATCTGAGGATCGGGTTGCACGCCGCAACAATGATATTTGAGTATCGGGTTGCACGCCGCAACAATGATATTTGAGTATCGGGTTGCACGCCGCAACAATGATATTTGAGGATCGGGTTGCACGCTGCAACAATGATATTTATGGATCGGGTTGCACGCCGCAACAATGATATACGTGGGTCGGGTTGCACGCCGCAACAGTGTTGTTATATATTAGGATCGGGTTGCACGCCGCAACAGTTGTTGATTCAAGTGTGTTTATTTTGGATATTCGTTTCTTGGTTCGCTGTAAATTCTTGGGCTGCTTTTATCTTTATATTGAGGTTTCCTATTTGTAACTGTTGCCTCCCCACAGCATGTCCCTCCCTTCCTTATTGACTGTTTATTTCCTGTATTTCTTTCCGTTGTATATATATATAGTTAAACTGCACAGGTTTATCTGGTAGTCTGGTCCTAGCCTCGTCACTACATCACCGAGGTTAGGCTAGGCACTTACCAGCACATGGGGTCGGTTGTGCTGATACTACACTCTGTGCTCTTTTGCACAGATCCAGGTATTGGACAGCATCAGTAGTTGGAGGGCTTCCTTCAGTCCACCCGGAGACCCAAGGTAGACCTGCAGGCGTTCGCGGGCCCTAGCGTCTCCCTCTATCTTCATTCACTGTTTCATTATCTTTTGTTCAGAGACAGTTTATTGTATTTTCCTTCAGACCTTGTATGTAGTAGATCTTAGATAGTCTGTGACACTGTGACACCAGTTCTTGGGTAGAGGCTTATGTTGTACTTCTGCATTTTTATTCAGTTTCTTTAATTTAAGACTTCCGCTTGATTATTAAATTCTATCGTTTGCATGCGATTGCTGATATTTGTTAAAAAGGGTAATCAAGGTTTGGCTTGTCTAGCTCCCACTAGTAGGCGCCATCACGACTCCCGAGGGTGGGAATTCCGGGTCGTGACAATAACTATTCGACATGCAGAAGTTATTTCAGTATTATCTTGAATAAATTCTTTTTTAATTTAGAAACTATCTCAAATATACAGAATATTATATTTAAAAGTAGAATAAATCTGAATCGATCAAAAGCCAACAAAGTATGACACATGTAATTTATATCAAAATCGATAAGTTAAAGCAAAGTTAACTTAGCTAATAATATGGCAGGGAGTCTTCTAAAGAAAACAATGAACTTAAATTGAAAAAAAAAAATGAAAGGGACTTCCTTCATACATTCATATTAGCGTGAGTTAGTTTATTTATACAAGTCTTCATCCATATGTGTATTATTTCCTGTTATATTCTTTTCTTGTGAATTCTAACGCTAAAAAGGCTATTTTGGTCCACCAAAAAATATGCATTAAAGCTAGACCAATAATTTTAAACTTTTACGATTAAATTTGAATCCTTGTGGACTTAACTTGACTGATTAAGGGGCTAAGGAAAATCTTTGTTCCTTTCATTTTGCTTTCACCCAGCTGATTTATTAATATTCAAAGTAGCAAACTTTTAGCTGAAATTAATTTCTCAGATAAAGGAAAAATTCAAATATTACAACGTACTTTTATAGAAATAATTTAATCCTCATGGGATTATAGAGCGATATCTTATTATTTGTTTTGGAAAATTGATCAGCTTGAGTTTTTATAAATTTGTGATTCATGGATTCTAGAGAATAGATTATTTAGAATAAAATTAGTACGTTAATAAATATTCTTCATATTTTAAATAGTCCTATCTTAAGTTTATTTAAACAAAAAATTATATCCATTTATTTTAAATATAAATTTCTACTAAATTAAATCATTTAAAAGTAAAATGCAAGTACTCTAATTAAGACGATATAGTCGTTATTACTAAAATTATTTAAGACGAGATGGTGCCAAATAAGTAGGAAAAGAGGACTATTCCATTGTTAAACAATCATTAATCTGAACGTGCAACTATATATACACAATTGCTTTTCGGTTTTCACCTTATATCCAAAACCCTCTAAAACCGTTTTCCTCTCTTCTCTGTCCAAATCCCGTTCTCTCTGTCGATCACAAACGCCTTTCTTCATCTTCAACCTCCGGCCACTTAATTCCCAGCTAAAATGCCGCCGTCTAAAGGCAAAGGGAAGGGGAAAAAGAAAGGTAAATCCAAGAAAACAAAAAACAGAGCTCCAGACGCAACATGCAACTGCATTTTACTAAGAGAAATCATCATTGATATCCTTTCTCGTCTCCCAGTGAAGACCCTTTTACAATTCAGGTGCGTTTGCAAGCCATGGCGAAAACTCATTTCCAAACCCAACTTCATTGACACCCATTTCCTCCATTCCTCTTCTTTGCAGCCCAGTACCGGTTCTTCACCCATTCTTTTACACACTCGCCATCCCGAGTCCTCTGATCATCTACTCTCACTAGTCAACCTGTCCCACGAGTCATCATCAGTTGTGGAAGAACTTGATAACCCTTTCCCTTTCTTCTTGCAAAATATGGTGGTTGTGGGTTCTTGCAATGGCATTGTGTGCCTTTGTCAGACACCTTTGGGTGATGTCATTATTCTTTGGAACCCAGCTATGAGGCAGTCTAGGAATGTGCCGCTTTCGAAAAGCAAACCCATTATCGGAACGCACTCTTGTGTTTCCATCGGATTGGCGTACGATTCACAAAAGAATGACTTCTTGGTCTTGAGTATTCAGAGTTTCGGACCAGAAACTATGATTGCGGATGAAGTGGAAATGTTTTCAACCAAGAGTTTCAGCTGGAAGAGGGTGCCAAATGAGATGGGGTTTCGAACTCTTGGGCTTTCTTGCAATCTGGTTATTAAAGGGGTGCCTTATTGGACTGCTCTGCTTGCGGATGCGCATGGGTCACGTGAGATATTGGTGCGTTTTGATGTGAGTAAGAAAGTATTTGACAGGTTACCTATACCTGGAGCGAGACTGGGGATTCAGGGGTATCTTGTGAATTTGGAGGATTCTCTTGGTATATTAATGTGGGATAAAACAGACAAATGTAATGTTGATATTTGGGTAATGGATGATGAAGATGGTTGGAGCAAGAAATGCAATGTTGAAATGTTATTCGGGTTCGACAGAATTATTGGCTGTGTGAGGAATGGTAACATTGTTGCTGAGGATGAGAATGCGTGCTGTTCCTCTTTGATCTGGTGACTAGTTCTGTTAAGGCAAAATTGTGCATCAATAAATAGCTAATAGCCGTTCGTTCATGATTTCCAATTATTCAGAGAGCTTAGTTCTGATTGAAGGGATGCGACCAGTTAAGAAGCAAGCTGCTAGAGATAAATTAGCACGGTGATCAACTTTTGTCTTTTCAATTATATCTTAATTAGTTACTATGTGCTTGCTTTGTGTTGATTGTCACGTCTGATCCCACTTTGAGATGTTGCACTTTTGCTTTGTTCTTATCCTTGTGTGCTTATGTGTTTGTTATCGCACTTGGTGAAACAAAGCAAATTGACTGTGAATCTGTGATGCATTAATTTACTACGTGAACTAACTCTGTGATCGTTTTTACTTAACTCTACACAATTATTGGAGATGCTTGTCAGTTGCTGTTGTTTCTGGAAAGCAAATATGGTCAACTAACAAGAAAGTATATTTTTGTGGTGTGGAATCAGCCACAATATAAATGTATCTCACTGTATGCAATTCTCTTATTTTCCCAGTCCAATTTTATGGTAGTCAGCCAAACAACGTCTTGGATTACTAGTTGAAATTGGCGGAAATAAGAGGAATAAATAGAGATGCCACATGGTATTGCAACTAACAAGAAAGTATATTCATGTCTTTCATAGTGAGAATTGTTTGAAAAGATGTAGGCTTGGCTTCAAAGGTGCATCGTGCGTGTCGAGAGTGTTTCCAGAAGATCTCAACTTCCTGTTCACCCTATTTATTTTCTGGCAATACAAGATATTCCTTTTTGTCAACAGAAACATTTAAATGATTAGAGAAACTTTTCAGCTTTCGTAGAGTTTGCTTGTTGGAGCATCAGTTGTGTTGAGGTCGATATCCAATTACTTCATTATGAAGAGACAACTAGGTCAATAGACATAGTAATATGATTGCTAGATCCTTGAAGTTATATATCTATCTGCAGATATATAAATTTTTATTTGTTGACACTGTAAAACTCTAAGGTAGTTTGTTCCATAAGCATTACTATAACATTACTTGTAAGAAAGAGCACAAAAACATAGTTTAACTGAAATATTGCATTTGGATTGCTGGATTGCTCTAACTAACAGAACCAAGTCTTCAAAAGAAAAGTAAAAACTAATAAAACCATGTCCTATTGGTGATTGCAACAGTTTTGTTACCTATCTACTCAATCGAGCCAGAGGTTTTGCGCTTTCTGTTTCTGGTGCTCTTTTTCTTGTTTTTGGTGAACTAAAGCTTATTATCAATGGAAGGCTTGGCTACTTGTGTCATTGCTAACCATATTGGACGAATGTGCACTCTCTTAATGGCTTGGCTACTTGTCTCTTAATGGCTTGGCTACTTGTGTCATTTCCTCCTTGGTTCACTTGTGTCTTGCAGTCTTTAATAATAAATGAATTGACTTGTAGTTACTTTGGGATCTTATTCTAGACATAATATTCTAAACATTATATTTTTGTCTGTGTATATCTTTGGAGAATTTTTGATATTGGACCAGTGTGCGGGATTCCCTCTCAAATCAATATAATTTTGACTTGATAGATTAGATATTCGAAGAAACTTACTGACAATATTTTTCTTGATAATGTAGGGCTGGCGTGAATATAAAGTTCACTACCACTTGACCCTCAGAAGCTTGACTTGGCTATATAGGATTGCGTAAAAGACATAATGGCTGCCCCTTTTTGCTAACATCGGAGATGGCATGAGAAACTTTTTGACATACTTTTAGTTAGGAAATACTAGCAATGATGTTCATATTACAGCGTATAATTCGTCTCAGCTATACTTCGTATCAGATTGTCAACTATTTTACACTGATCAACCTGTGCTTCAGTAAGCAATGGTGGGTTTATGTTTGCGTCTAATATGCTCAAGTTTATATTTTTTGCTTCATTAGGTCTTTCAGTGTGTTCCATGTGAGTGTCTTCACTCAATTTTTGTTCCTTCCCATAAGTAATTTTCTTTTCGGTTCATAATTCTTTCCAAATGTGGACCGTGGTGCGACTTGAATGTTCTTTTGATTGGTTTCATAGTTCTTCGCATATGTAGACTGTGGTGGGACTTGAATGTTCCTTTTGGTTTATAATTCTTTGCATATGTGGACTCTGATGCGACTTGAATGGAGTTTTTAAATAGAAAGAGTTTTAAGGTAGGGTACGTTTTGCGTACACATTATCATCTCCATATCCTATTTGTGAGATTATAATAGGTTATTATTGGTGTTATAACTTTGAAGAAAATAATACTTTTGACTAAATTTACATAACATACCAAAAGTCCACTTAATATGTTGGGGCAGAGGCGAATCCAGAATTTTAAGCTTATGAGTTCCTACAACAATCTCAAATTAATCTACATGGTAACTGGACCAACGAACTGGGTTCCAAACTAAAAATTCTTATACTTTTAATAAAATTTTAACAAATACAGGCTCTATGCAAAAGTTACTGAGTTCACGTGCACCCGTATCCTTTTCTCTAGATTGTGCGAGAAAGCATGTTGCAGCAAATACAGTCCAACATTTGAAATTGTTTGACCTTGTGTATTAATATTGCAAAACACAAGCCTACTGAAAATTATTTCTAGATAAATTTTAAGAAGACAGGCGAAAGTTGAATTGTGGGGATGAACACATGCTTGGAAGCACATCAACCCATCATGATTTTTCATGTATGATATTATTATCAAAACCTCTATAAACCATCATTATACGATTACATAAGACACTTGATGCATTTAAGTTTCTCAGTAGTATGTTAGGTGTATTTTTCTTCAAAACCAGCATGTATGCAACGGAAGATCAAATATGACATTGTTTGTTCTATGCATACATGACACTAACATATATAATTTTTTTGCTCATTTTATCTTATTGATCTCCTTTAATATATAAAATAATAAATTTCACAACGAATATCTCTGCTGACAGATCATTTGGTATTGTATTCTTCTTGGTAGTAATTGTTAGTATTATCTTCCGTCGAGTCGAAACTGAGAACATTTTGGCTTTTATCAGGGGATTTGGTAATCAACATCTCATTTAGTCGATCAACATATTTATTTCTACTAGTTTAAATGGCTCTTTCCTTAATGTACTTTGCATAACATTCTATTTTATATAGCAATGAAAATATTTTCCTTATTAAGGAATCTTCACTAGTACTATAGCCATTGGGCTTGACGACAAAGTATTCTTGAGGAAGGATCAAATCATCTTTTATAATATATTAGTATTAGTACCCGTGCGGATGCGCGGACACTAATCATGTCAAATATTTAAGTTATTTGGATTGTATGTAAATAATTTTAAAATTTACACTTTCTCAGTAAATATAGATAATCATTAGATATTAACTACATGAAAAAAATTAGCCATTTCTTCTATTTTTCTTTTTTGATACCATTCTTGCCGGTGTCATTGGATCTTAAAAATAGCCAGGAAGTAAAATAATAACTCATATTTATGGCAAAACGATCAAATGTTGAGACAATGAATGACTCTTAGATAAGACTTAACTCCTTTACTATTACTTGTACTCTTATTTGGTGTGTTGATATCTCTTAAAAAATATTTCTTTCTTAAAATTTCAGTTTCTAAAATATTATTTTTCAATAATAATTATTTTTGTAATAATGTAATTGAAAATATTATTCTTAATTCAAAACTCATTTTAGTTGGCTATCTAAAAATATAAAAAATTCTTTAGCTAGTGAATTTTTTTACTCCATTTTGATGACAATAACCACGTTAAATATCCGAGTTATTTGAATTATATGTAAATAACCTTAACATTTAAACCTTCTAAATAATTATAGATAATCGTCAGATATTAATTAAGAAACACTACATGAAAAAAGACTTATATTTCTTTAATTCTCGTAGTGATAATTTTATTTTTGCACTATTCTCATAGGTGTCAAGAGAACCTAAAAATAACCACAAAGTGAAATAATAACTCATATTTATGGCAAAGCACAAAGGTTGACACGATATAAACGATTCTTTGATTAAGGCGTGACTCTTATACTACGCCTTGAGCCCTTATTTGGTATGATTTTATCTTTCAAAAAATATTTCTATTTTGAAATTTCAATTTCTAAAACTTTATATATATTATAATAACAATTATCTTTATAATGATGCAAGTGAAGATATTATTCTTAATTTAAAATTAACTTTAAGCGGCTATCTAAAAGTTTAAATGATTCTTCGGCCGAATTTATTTTAGTATGACTCCACTTTAAGTTTATTATACCCTTGCAATATTGGCTTGACTATAGCTGAATGAAGGGGTTTCAACTTTCAGCTTCTATCCTTCAATTCCTCGAATGAGCTAAATTGAAATTAATGATAGCAATTGTATCGCCAATGTTTTGTTATTTGTTTGATGTCCATTTATGCAAATTGACTCTTCAAACAAATATTCTTCAAGAAGAAAAAAAAGAAACAATTTTTTAATATTGACGAATTTTGCGATGTTTCTTTCTCCAGCATGTATGTTTACTTTGTTATATATGTAAGTAAACTTTTATTTGGTTTTGTAAACTCTTTTTTATTATTTAGATAAATATAGACGTGTACCCTATATATTACATTTATTTTAAAAGAATTTTATTTTATTCAAATCTAGCTACAGTGTTTCAAAGAACTATAGTTATAGGATTTTAAATATGGAGTAGCTTTTTTTTTTTTTTTTTTTTTTTTTTTGCTAGACGTGAGGTAGTATTTAAATAATTAGAAAAATAACAAAACTTCCTAACATGATTGGATATATATATATATATATATGCTTTTTACCGCTTCCGACATAAATGAAGAAATCATAGAATACTTGATTTAGATTTACTCTCATATTTCTTATTAGCCAAATCTTTATCACTTGAGGTCATAATTAAGATTTAACCAAGCCAGCACTAATAGTCTACGCTCATGTGGAATTTTAAACCATTGGTAGTACTTGACGAAAATCACCTCCAAAAACTATTGCTTT